AGAATAAATTAAATAGCTGCTTAGGAAATTACTTATTGAAATATCATTGAGATAAGTGCATTGAAAGAGAAACACTGGGAGTTTAGAAAATGTAAATCACAGAGATCTAACCTAACCTTCCTGAGAGTTTTAGTCCATTCATGCTTGTGTAACAAAATACTATAAACTGGGTAGATTATTAAAAAAAGAAATTTAGTTCTCACAGTTCCGGAGGCTGCGAAGTTCAAGATCAAGGTGCTGGCAGATGCTGTATCTGGTGGGCCTGCTTTTTGGTTCTTAGATGGTGCTTTCTTGCTGTGTCCTCACATGGTTTAAGTGGCAAGGCAGTTCTGTGAGGCCTCTTTTGAGGGCACAAATTCCATTGATGAAGGATCCACCTTCATGACCTAATCACCTCCCAAAGGCTCCACCTCCTAAAACCATCACATTGGTGATTAGGTTTTAGCATATGAATTTTGGGGGAACACAAGCATTTAGACCATAACATTCTGCCCCTGGCCTCCAAATTCGTGTCCTTCTAGCATGCAAAATACATTACATTTATTTCATCCCAGGAGCCCCCAAAGTCCTCGCTTGTTCCAGAATCAATTCAAAATTCTAAGGTCCAGGGTGTCACCCAAATACTACCTAAATCAGATATGCTGAGACTCAAGGCATGATTTATCCTGAGGCAAATTGCTCTCCAGCTGTGAAATCAAACATGTTATGTGCTTCCAAAATACAATAGTGGGACAGTCATAGGATCAACACTCTCATTCCAAAAGGGAAAAATAGGGGGAAAAAAAAAAAGAGGTAGAAGGTCCTATGTAAGTCCAAAATCTTAAGACTCAAGAATAATGTTCTTTGCCTTGAGGCTTTGCCTTCCAGGCCCACTGGAGTAGAGATCCTACCTCTAAAGCTTTGATAGGCTAGGGTTAAGTCCTAAAAAGCTCTGGGAAGCCTTGTCCCCACAGCTTTCGGCAGCTCTACTCCCATGGCTCTGCTGGGTGCAGGCTACTCTGTAGCTTTCATGGGTTAGAGTCACACGCCAGTGGCTCTACCAGTCTGGTATCGTGGGGTCAGACCTTACCCCATGGCTCTGCTGAACATTTTTCTAGTGGGGGATCTCTGTGGTGGCCTCAGCCCTGTAGCAGTTCTCTTCTTGGGCCCCATGGCTGTTTGGGACATCTTTTGAAATCCAAGTGGAGGCAGCCATGCTCCCATGGCTTGTGTACTCTGCCCACTGGGGGGGATGGTAGTGTGCAGACTCCCCAAAGTTTACTACTTGTGCCTCTGGAGGGGCAGCAACTGTGGCCCATGCAGCACTTGGGCAACTGGAGCTAAACTTGGGACAACTAAAATGAAGTTCAGGTAGCAGAGTCTTGAGGTGGCACCAGGCAGTGAGTGCCAGTACCCATAGGTGCCTACAGTCCCACCTTTGAAATGGTTCTGTCTTCCAGGCCCTTGAACTCTGTGCCTGAGATGAGAGCAGCAGTCCTAGTAATCTCTGAAATGTCTTTGAGGGTCATTTTTCCATTGTCTTGATGAATAGCACCTGGTGATCAATACTGATCTTATCAAATGATTGCTTGGCTACCCCCTCTGTGTTCTTTCCCAAACATCTTTCTCCTTTTTTTACAATATGGACCAGCTTAGAATTTTCCAAATCTTTAAGTTCTCTTTCTCTTTTGGTTCAAAATTCCTTCTTGAAATTGTTTCTCACTTTTTGCATTTTACTATAAGCACTCAAGAGGAGCCAAGCTGTACCTTCAAAACTTTGCTTAAAAATTTCTTCAGTTTCCAATAATATGTTCCTCATTTTCATCTGAGACCTCACCAGAATGGCCCTTTTCATCCATTTTCCTACTAACATGTTGTTCACAACCACTTAGATATTCTCTAAGAAGATTGAGGCATTTTCTGTAGTCTTTCTCTCCTTCTGACCCCTCACCAGAATTGCGCTTTACCATCCACTCACAGCAATATGGTATTTTTCTAGCATGCATCCCCAAACTATTCCAGCCTTTACCCATTACCCAGTTTCAAAGCTGCTTCCACATTTTAGGTATTTCTTACAGTAGCATCCTACTTCCAGTATGAACTTTTGTCTTAGTCAATTTGAGATGCTATAACAAAATAACATAAACTGAGTAGCTTATTAAGAATAGAAATTTATTTCTAACAGTTCTAGAGGCTAGGAATTTCAAGGTCAAGGTGCCAGCAGATTCTGTTTCTGGTGAGGGCTGCTTTCTGGCTCCTATATGGTGTCTTTTTACTCTGTCCTCACATGGTGGAAAGGGCAAGGCAGTTCTCTGGCACCTCTTTTGCAAGGGCACTAATCCCATTCATGAGGGCCTGGCCTTCATGATCTAATAACCTCCCAAGGGCCCCACTTCCTAAAACCATCACATTGGTGAGCAGGTTTCAACATATAAGTTTTGGGTGAACACAAATATTCAGGCCATACATCTGAGATCTAAAGAATATGTGGGAGTTAGAAGACAAGGAAGAAACATTTCAGGCAGAAGGAACCTATGTGAAGGCCCTGAGGCCAGAAGGAGCTTGGCATACTTGTGGAAAGAGAGCAGCATGGTTAAAGAGCACAAGAGAAAAACAGTAAGTGTTGTAAGGTGAGGCTGAGGAAGATGCCGAGTCTGGACCATCCAGGGCCTTGTAATCCACATAAACATGTTTGCTCTTTATTCTAGCAGCAATGGGGAAAACCTCTGAAGGATTAGTTATAAATAACAGCATAGAACACAAAGATCTGCATTTCTGTAAATTCTCTTGGTTTCGATGTGAAGAGTGATCTGGAAGACTGAGGTGGGCACATAAAACTGGGGGCAAAGAGACCAGTTAGGAGGTTATTTTTGTCACCCAGGAAAAAGTTCATAAGTGATTAGACCTGGGCAATAGCACATGTATGGAGAGAAGTGAGCAGATTCACAAGAGGTTCTGTAGATAAGACTTGATAATATGTGATGATGGAGTAGATGGAGGGAATGAGGGAGATAAGAAAGTCAAGATAGTACCCAAATTTAAGGTTTTAATCAGGACTGAATAGAAGTCTTTTACTTCCTTTGGTCTGTACCTCTGATTATAAAGCCACTTATTTTTTTCAGCAGCTATGAATAAACTTGAGTCCATGAAAACTCTAGGGTTGACTCATACGTGTTGCTTTCATGCTACCATTTTCTCTGTCTTCTCTTCCCAGTGCCATATGTATGGAGCCATTTTTGAAATCCAGTATAGGATTTTACACACATTCATTTTACATTTTCCTATAGAATTGGTTCATCATTCCAATCTTAAGAGACTTATTGGAAACTTGATTCCTTTATGTAATGTATTCAATACTCCTCCCAGTTTCATATTATCTAAAAGTTGTCAAAATCACACTTATCCTATTTTAATTCATTGATAAAACTGTCATGCATACTAAAAAATTAAGTGTTTGGTAATGCAAATTGAAACTATTGAGAAATACTAAACATAACACACAAACCTGATGTAAACAATGAAATTTAAAACTTAAAATTTAAAAAGTAAAATTTAGAAAATCACCACCTCCCTCTCCTTTCACTCTTTGCTATAGTTACTAAAAGCTGAATAACTATGAATGGTTAGAAATTTTCTTGTTTTTCTATTTCTTTCACCTCCTGTTAATTGTTTTACAATTTTTTTCTGTTATTTTTAACATTCTGTCTGTTAGGAATCAACCTTGTTGACTAAGAAAGCTCTGGTAATTTTGTGTTTTCATAGCATAATGTTCATCTTAATGGTGTTGTAATAAAATATGGCATACCATGGAATACAAAGTTTCTGAACGAGATTACATAGGAACCTCTTTGCCCTTGTCCGTTATATCACATAGGCTTCCCTGGTGACTGGCATTGGAAGGATGCCAGAGAAAATATTCTGGAGCTTATTCTATCAGTGTTCTGCTCATGTTCCCTTATACCTCACCCCTACAGAGCACACAATGTCCTATTCTCATTTTCCAGCATCTGTATCTCTTTGCCTGGGGGCTTTCTCTGGCAGCCAGAGCTTCTCTGTCAGTGCACAGAGCAGGAGGCCAGAGGTCCCAAAGAATTAACCTCCCCCAAAGAGAAACCTTCAACCAATGACTGAATATATTTTGTAGATAAAATTCCCAGATACCTTGTGGATGGAATAACATTCAGGTTCTTATTTCTATACTGACTCCCGGAATTTTCTAGTATGATTAAACACTGGTTATCACAGTGGTAATTTTCTTGATAATACACTCTTTTTGGCTATATTTCCTTTTCTGTCTCACTTTACTGCTCATGTTCTTTTTGATATAACTACTTCCTAAAGCAACTGCTTGAACTTAAATCCCTTTCTCAAGTTCTGCATCATATGTGCTCTTCTTTTTAAAGCACCAAGAACCATGCCCCTTACCACCATTATTAATCCTTTCACTAAGGCATGGTCCTACAATCTAATCACCTCTTCAAGGCTCCATATTTCAATTACCATAATAAGATTTCCCACCCCCTCAACACTGTCACAGTGAGAATTAAACTTCTAATATATGGATTTTGGGGGACACAATTCAATCAATCCACAGCAGAATGTTTCCTTTGTATTTAATTCTACCAGACGCTATCCCATATTCTCGGGCTAGAAGTGTCTTCTATATTTCCTTTATAACTTGAGCTAAGCAAAAATTTAGATGTTCATTTTCATGTTATATGCATACACATCTCCCACATGTGGACTTCTGTTAGGCACCCAGCAAAAATGAACAAGAACCATTTTGACAGTGGGTAGTAAACTGCTTGGAGCATGGGCCCTTTATGAAGATGACTAGAGGTTACTGATATCACTAGTTCCCTCCCTGTCCTCAGATATCAACCTGTATTTCAGAATGTAAACACAAAAACAAAGAAGTCTCAGATTCAGGGAAGCTACAGGGATTGGGCTCTCAGGAGACTAATTTTCAACCCTCAGCTCTACGTCTAGGAGTCAGGACCCTAAGGTCCTGAGAAAGAATGCTAGGATGTTTTTATTCTGAGTAGTTTCTCCAGTGCCCCTTTCATATCCTTGTTTCTGATGCTGTAGATGAAGGGGTTCAACATGGGAGTCACCACCGTGTACATTACTGAGAAGACTCTGTCCTTCCCATCTGATTGGGATGATGGAGTACATAAATAGACCCCAATAGCTGTGCTGTAGAACAGACAGACCACAGAGAGGTGGGAGGTGCAGTTGGAGAAGGCCTTTTGCTTACCATTTGGGGCATCAATTCTCAGGACAGTCAATGCAATGTAAAAATAAGACGTGAGGATGCAGACAAAGGGTCCAATCAGCAATGTTCCTGCCACAAGGGTGAGCACCAGGTCATTGACATAGGTACTGGTACAGGCCAGCTTCAGGAGTGGGACCAGATCACAGAAGAAGTGGGGGATGGTATTGGGACCACAGAAGGAAAGCCTGGTCACTAGGAGGGTGTGCACTAGGGCATGGAAGATAGTGATTACCCATGACCCTGCCACCAGCAAGACACAGCGTTGGGAGTTCATGGTCATGGCATAACGAAGGGGGTGGTTTATGGCCACATAGCGGTCAAGTGCCATCACAGCCAGGAGAAAGTTGTCCAGATCTGCAAATAGGCCAAAGAAGTAGAGTTGTGTCAGACATGCACTATAAGAAATTAGTTTAATTCCTGAGCTAATATTATCTAGCATCTTGGGAATTATTGTAGAGATGAAGCCAATATCAGAAAATGACAGATTGGCCAGGAAGAAGTACATGGGGGTGTGGAGGTGCAGGTCAGAGCCAATGGCCAGGATGATGAGCAGGTTCCCCAACACAGTGACCAGGTACATGCCCAAGAAGAGCCAAAACAGGAGAAGCTGCTGCTCCGGGTGCTTAGAGAAGCCCATGAGAAGAAATTCAGAGATGCTGGTCTGGTTTCTTCTGTCCATGTCTGGAATTCTGTGTGAAATAAATTTTATTATAGCATAAATAGCAAAAAAGTAAAATAATGCTATGTTGAAAGTACTTCAAACTCTTGTTAAAAAATTCTGTGGTTTAAACAATTCTGTTTTAGCAAAGCTTGCATTTATAATTGTGCATGTTAAAAAAAGACAGTTTGGATCAGATCATTTGTAAAGTTATACATGGCTGTCAGTGCTTGATCAGTTATCCAAGCCTCCTTCAAACTATTTCAGTGTCTGCATGATACACAGGTCAGGCACCAGGTAAAAGTGTGCTATTGATCGTACATATCCTATCAGTATACACTAATGTTTAACACTTAGTAAGAATATAATTAAGTAAATAAGATGTTTCTAATAAGTAGAAAGGTAAAATACCAGAAGTGTGTATATGTATAATTCCATTTTAGTAAAAAAAAAATAAATAAATGCTTGTATATGAGTAAGAACCTGTCTGAAAGAATCCACACCTAAGGTTGACAGTGTTTACTTCTGCGGAGTGAGTGTGGGTTGATGGGTGCTGGATATCAACTTCTGCATAACTTAAATTTTTACCAGCATGCATTATTTTTGTAATTAAAAGATTATTTTTAAGTGTGACGGAATTAACTCAAGTTATAATCCAGAAGACATCCTGGAAATTTTGGGATACCCAGAGTTCTGACAAGTTAACCAGGGTGTCATCTCTAAAATATAGCTCTGAGGAGTAAACAGAACAAAAACCAAATGACTTTGACCCTGTGTGAAGAAAAACCTATGTATATGTATCAAAACATTAGATTGTAGCCCTAACTATGTATAATTACAACATGTAAGTTAACATTTAAAAATGTTATAGAGCAAGAAAATTTTTAAAAATTATAGTCTACTCTATTTGGGCCCTTTTTAATGTTTCCAACTTTCCCTAAGAAAAGCTATAGCAAATGCATAAAATACTGCTCCAATTTCTCCCAGCGTGGCCGGGAATTACTTGTGCTTTTCCTCTGACAACCTTGATGCTCGTCACTTACAGGTGCTTCTCCGTCCAGTTTGGCTCCTCTTCTTCTGGCTCCTTGGATTTAAAAGCCTAAGTTTTAGATGGTCTGTTTCAGCCCCTGAGCCCTTCTTTGCTCTAAGATGGCCTTTTACATTTATGTATCAGATGAATGTATTTCAAATCTAAATAGAAGGTGTCAAATATCTAGTTTGCCCTCCAAAGCCACACCTTAGTTTGTCTCTGGCTCTGCTCAGACAAGAGGATGTCCTGATTTGGGACTTGCATATCTGTTTTTCCCCCCATAGCAGCTACAGTGAGGATACACCAGAATCTCATAAATAGATAATATTGGGCTTTAAGTTTATTCTATTCACTGCCTTTTCTCTGACTTAACGAAAAAAGTCAGAGTGACAATAATAGCTAACACTGGGTGAGCACTACCCTTGCCAGGCACTGGATTCCATTAAATGATAACCCTGTGTCCTAGTAGGATGATTATCTTTATTTAAAGATGTAGAAACTGAGGTTCTGAGTGGTGAAACAACTTGCTGAAGTTTACACAACAAGATATTGAAGTGAAATGTGTCTGAGTGAAAAGTCCAAGTTCTTAACCGCATTGCTATGCTACTTTTCAATGATCCCAAAACCATTTTCTGTCTCAAGCTCAGCCTTCTGCATATTTTACACAAGGAGAGAATGCACCATCAGGGAATTTAAATATCCACTCAATTTGGCACTTATAGTTCTCATAGCAAATGAGAATGGGGATATTTTTGGCTTATGCTTTAATCTTTGGTGAAAGTGATTGATGTGAGTCAGTCCACTTTGGTCCAATCCAGTGTCTGGATAAAATCCGGTTTCTGTATTTGAAAGCTACTGGGCTAGGACCATGATTCCTATTCTAAGGTGAAGCTATCCTGAAAGTCCCAGTCTCCTTCCTGTCTGGTATCTCTTACCTTCTCTCCCCTCCATTGCAACCAAGTCCAGATTCAGAAGCTAAGCAGATGGCAGGATGTACAGTGATGTGTTTTGTTGTACTCATTCAATTATATAACTTTTACAATAAGTATTAGAAGTAAGTGAAAATTTATTCCAGTTTGCACTTTTCATGCTCAAAGGTAATTAACATTCAGGAATTTCACTATTTAATAGAAACATGCAGCCTAATATAAACAATTACATTGATTCTAAATGAAAATTTTATAAAAATGAATTAATATTCTAAATTCCTATGATATTCTGGCCAAATAAACTAATAAAACTTAAAACAATTGACTTTTGGGAAAAAGATACATCATTTGGTTTCAACTTCATTATTATGACAAATGCTCTAATACCCTGGCCAGTGGGTCCAAGCTAAAGGTATGTATCACAATGACCTGGGGAACATTTCTTATACACCTCCTCAAAATGTGATCCCCACTGAATATATGCACTTAAAACCACTGCTTCAACTTATTTATTTATTTCTGAGGAGAATATTTAGGTTGCATAGACTAAAGAAAAAATCTTCAGTTTGCACTAAGAAAATATTGATTAGCCTTCTTCATCAAGCCTAGTAAAATGGGCTTGAATAATTTGAGTTCTCTGAAGCTTGGTTCCCCTCTCTGTGAGGAGGAATAACTAAATACATGTCACAGGCTGTTGTGAAGCTCCTTACTGCCATCAGGAAACTGTCCAAGCTGTCTCTTATCATGACAGAATCAGCCCTTTATGATCAGACTCCATCTGTCTATACAACAACACTCCCCCTCATGGCAGACCACTTCACAGCCATGAAGCCACTCACAGTCCCCACACAATTCAACTTCCTGACTCTATGATCTGCTGCTGCTATTCCACATTCCTGGGTGTCGCCTCCTCCTCTCCAGCAGGCAAGAGTTCAGATGTCAACTTCCAAGAATATTTTATATTCTCCTGTTGGAGTGTATCATCTTATCCTCTGTGCTCCCACAGCTCTTTATATAGGTCTCTGGTAGAACACTTGACATATTGCCTTATACTTGGTCATTTATTCCCATTAGACTATGTGTCCCTTTGCATGAGGGACTCATTTTTATTAATCGTATTGCTTCTTAGTGTGTATTTGGTAATTACATATCAACAAAATAGTAGATGGACGGTAAAATGATTTTTTAAGCTATGATAAATTGTATGGTATAAATATTTAGCTCCCAGCATTGCCTTTTACTTATAGAGATGGTTAATATAACATTAAGATGGTCCTTAATGGAGATCTTAGGTTGTCTAGCATGGGTTCTAGTACATAGAACGTATTCAAAATTGTTTGCGAAAATGGAAAAAAGCATTGCTGAATGTTGAATTAGTAAGTCTAATCGGCTGCATATTTACACAAGTACTGAGTGTCTGGTTTATTTATATTTTACTTTTGAATTAAATATTGTTTTATTTTAATTAAAAATAGGATACAGGGAAAATTAATGCTTAGGAGTCAGATTTAATATGAACATATCTACTTGTAGGTCTGAATCTGCCTTTTCGTGACCCTTACCAATGCTGAGAAATGTTCCACCAAATCTTTTGCTTTTCCACATTTGAAAACTCGGCCAACTTGACCTGACATGTTCCATCCACATGTCAATCCCCTCTCAAGGGTGTATGGAGATTTCAGGGTAGTTTCAGGGACTAGAGGTTAAACTTGCAACCCAATAAAATAGTCTTTTGGATCAAAGCTGCCTTCCCACTTCACCCTTTAGGAACTAAAGGATGCTAAACCATCTAATACAGCCCTCTTATTTTATGAATGACAAACAATGTCAAAGAGATGCTGTGATCTATCCAAAATTAGCTCTGTAACTGATAACCCAGAACAAGGTTTCAAAAACTATTTCTAGTGGACCATTCTGCTTCTCTTGCCTGACCAAATAGGGACATGTGTGACCAAGGACTTACTGTTAGTTCCGAAATGAGCCAGGAAGAGTTACTCAGTTCTTCATGTTAAGGTAGAGATTTGGTTCTCTTGATTCTAACTTGTTAAGAGTGGACAAGGCATGCTTGAGATCCAGATGCAAAGACAGCATCTTCCTCTATGCTTAAGGTAGGAGGGACTTCTGGGACATGGACCCCTCATCTGATCCAAGGAAGGAGAAATAAGAGCAGGCCACCCCAGGTCCTGAGTCAGCCAGACTGATTAGACACCTAGGAAAAGAGGAGTTATCTACACGCAGTTTCTGGCACAATTCCCAGGGCTCCCCGATGGAAGTTGCAGAGACATTTGGGAACATCAGTCTCTGAAGTATTCATTGTGGGAAAAGTCCCGGTTCATTGTCCAATTCCAGTCCTGAAACTCTAAATGAACTGCTCTGTGACTTTTAAAGTTCACTTATCCTCTCTGGGCTTTGGTTTCTTCAGGTAAATAATTAAATAACAACATATATTCTCTTGCAGTAGAAATCTTACATCTACATTCAAAGAGGAAATGACACCGATTCTTTACAAACTATTCCAAAAGATTGAAACAGATGCAAAGCTTCCAAACTCATTCTACGAGCAAACATCATCCTGATACCAAAACCAGGTAAGGATATAACCAAGAAAGAAAACTACAGGCTGATATCCTTGATGAATATAGATGCAAAAATCCTCAATAAAATATTAGCAAACAGAATACAACAACACATATGTAACATCATTCACCGAGTTCAAGTGGGATTCATCCCAGGGATGCAAGGTTGGTTCAACATACGCATATCAATAAATGTGATCCACTGTATTAATAAAATCAAACACAAGGACCATATGATCATCTCTATTGATGCTGAAAAAGCATTTGTTAAAATTCTGCACTCGGCCGCCTCCTCACCCGGCGGCGGCAGCAGCGACGGCGGCGGTGGCTCCTCCTCACCCA